GAAAATACAACAGTCTTTACTACATCCATCGGAGAACATTGAGAAAAAGTTATGTGTGATAGAAGATATTATAGTTTTCCCTTAAGTGACTGTAGAAGAATAATCACATATTATCCACAATCGAATACAGGGAGAACTATGGATGAGTATGAATGTCTACTAACAATAAGGGAAGATTTGTTGTATGTGCAACAATAATAATCAACAAGCATTCATTATCAAGCAAATGTGTCAATCCATTGCAAGTAGAAGGATTTAACATTTTACAAATTGGTACATACAAATGCTCATGCGACTTGCTACTTGTAGGTAATGACTGTATATCTGCTTTACATACAAGATACCTACACACATACAAACTGTTGTAGCAGAAGGAAATGAATTCTATGACACTTCTTACGATCAGTCACCGTTAAATGTTGAGCAAGTAAATTGACCATTACAAGAAAATGCCATATGCCATAAATGAAATTCCTTACGGGCCCTTATAGGAGACCATTTTACATGCTAAATGTCACTGATGAGCAAAGTGCCAAAGAATCATAGCAAATGTGGATGCCTACAAGCTATTATAAGAAACTTGTTGTGCATAAAACACGGTATATGTGAGCAATTACAGGAGAACTCTAGCGAATGCAGTTATGTACCAACAATAATAGGAGATTCGTTAGTGCATAACATACTACTTGTAGAAAGCAACAAGTAGTACACAAGATGAGCAAATGACCATAATGCAACGTTATGTCATTGAATCCGCAACATCCTAATAAGCAGTCAGAAGGAGTATACGAGCATCCAAATAAAATGCTACAATCAAATGATGGCTGCCCGCACAACCGAGAAGCATCAAATAATTATAAGATGCTCCCATACATGAATTACAATTTGTATGCACAAATACACATAATTGCATATGCAATCAAATAGCCGCATGGGCCCTAGTGAGAGTGTTATACGAATACATATGCCGTCTAGGGATGCTGCGCAGGTCAATAGATTTGAAATCGATCCTTCTAGGTAGGTAAATAAGAGTTGGTAAGGTTCAACAAATAATTATAAAATGCTCCCAAACACCCGCATGGGCCCCGACGAGCGTATCATGGGTACACGTGATTTCTAAGGATATTGCGCGGTTTAATAAATGAAATCATGTTCGAACCCGATACTTTAATGAGGGTAGATAGGAGTCGGCACGGCTCGAACCATTAAATAAATGTACGATCGTGGTATCAACGAAGATATTTGTTTTAATGTGTTCATATAAGGCCTTCAATGTCTATGACAAAAGCAATTCATTAACAAAAACATAAAGCTTATGGACACCTGACCCTCTATCGACCAGTTGATAGTGTCGATAAGGTTCAATAAATGAAATTCCCAAATGCCCATAAAAATCTGGGTGATGACCGTGTTGAATGTTTATCTCAACCGGTTGGGATCCTACCTTTTCAATGCTCTTAAATTTTCACAAATTACAGAAATATCAATGATCTCATATACCTCGATGATGGCCATGTTGAACGTAAATCTCAACCAGAGGGATTAATTCCAAATATTTTTGAATGTCACTAAAATACCTAGAAGATTAACAAAATCAAATGTCCAAAACTCCAAAAAGATACCAAAATCCAAATATTTAAATTTGAAATAAACCCATCAAACATTTAAAGCAAAATCCATCAATCCCCCGCAATAGTTTGTCGGGGAGGACAAATTGAAAATCACTTCAGCTCACAAAGAGCTAATGTCTGATCGATAATATCACTAGGATCATTAGGATTCATTCTCAAACAATTTCCTGCCAGTGAGGACATGACACATGTCCTCTAACTGATAGTTTTATCGCCAAATGGCACTGCAGGTAAACAGTTATGACCGGGGCCCTTTGAACCGAGTGGTTTGTCGTCAAATGGCACTACTAAATTACGGTTATGGCAAGAGCCTGTATGGTCTCCAATGGCATCAAATCCTTGAGATATGAATCAATAGGATATAATCGATAGGGCACAAAGCCCTCTGTTAGCTAATGTGGATTCAAATTTATCCTTTTAAGCAAATTTTCATCCCAGGTCTACCAGGTCCCCTTGGACGAAGCAACCCAGGCTACGAACAAATTTGTCAGGTTGGGTTGACTACCTCCTCTTACTAAGTAGACCAGGGACCACGATGGTCCAGGACAACAAAACCATGGGATTTTGATCGGGGCCATCATCCATTCCCCCACCATCTGCTTTGAGTGTAAGATAGTGAAATTTTCAATTTTAGATATCCAATTTCCAATTTCAAATGCCCATGCTGCTACTATATGCTAGATATTACATATCTCTACGTATCTGATTGACAACTAGCCTTAATCAAAAGTTCTCTCTCATTATCGAGAGGGATAATTAACTATAGGGGCTTGCGCCTATAGGAAACCAAAACTCATGTCATAAAGTCCTCGCAAAATGAGAGCGAAATATCTGGGTAGTGTCTTATCTACAAACCCAATATGCTTTCCCAAAATTTACCCCGGAATTTAATCCATTAGAACTCCCCCAAAAGGCAGCAGGGGAGGCTGGGGCCGAATTTTCGGAGCCCGCAAAGGAGTTGTTTGATTCAACTCAATGTTAAGTATGAGTCTTGGATTCTTTTTAGTGTATTAATAAGTTTACCTGATGATGTTTGGATTCCTTAGCCTAGCTTTAGGCAGATTAACTTTGATGGTTTTAAGGCTATTTATGTTAATGCATTGCTTATCAAAATCCTTCCATGCTAGAGGTTTGATTGTTGTGGAAAGCATAATAGAATTCTAAGTTATTCGTGCATGCCCCTTATAGCTTAAGGATTATCAAGTGTGCAATTACTTTGCAGTTTATCCATCTTTATGAAGGTAATTGCAATTTGTTTCCTATGGCACTACATGTCATTACCATTAGAAAACCTACACTATTATTCTAGGCTATGTTAATCAACATCTGAATTAAGTATGCCATAAGTTTTTTTAACCCAGATGCCCTGGTCTTTGTTAGTTTAAAGAATTTTTTGTATGGAAATAAAGTTAAATATGATTTAAACCTAAATTCTCATTATTGTACTGTAAAATGACCTAAGGTTGAGTTTACGTCATGTGTGTTTACTGTCATGGTTAATTTAGTCTATTTGGAGGGCCATATTAACTTTTAACAGTGTTTAAGGGGTTAAGCTGTTATGGCTAAATATGGTAATGCGCTCTTCAAAATCCTAGAATGCTATAAGTTGGATATGTGGGAAAAGCAGAATGGAATTCCTTTATGTGTGCATCTTTCTACAAACTTAATGACAACCATGGACATGCTTATAGTGAAGTTTATCCATCTCTTTATAAGTAATAGAATTAACATTCAATGCCTTAATCATAATGTAAGCTAACTTAGCCGACATCTAATTAAGCCTGAATAAGTTGTAGAGATTTTTTATTGAGATAACTTGTCCAACTTTAGTTAACAGTAGTATAGCCCCAAACCAATCAAAGCTTGATGAGTTTGCTGTTGACATGCCTTGTTTTGAATGCTTTTGCTTGATCATTAACTTGTGTACTAGTGAAATACTTTGTTGAATATTGGATATTATATTGTCAAATTTGTATGAATCGAAAAATAGAGGAAATAGAAGAGGAAGCATGCTGAGGAAGAATATCAAATCAACTCACTTCATTAACCCCACAATCACTATTACAATATAAATATATATTAAAGGCTAGCTGACAAGTATAATAGAAAGTAAAAGCGAGTGTTTTACATCATGTTGTTAATGATGAATGTTGTTGTTGTTGTTGATGATGAAGGTACATAAAGTGGCAACAACTACAACAAGGAATAGTAGCTTAAGTAAACCTCTTGTTTTAATAATACATTCCGTTAGCACCTCCCCTCAAGTTGAGGAGTCCTGAGGAATTATCAAGTTGGATAGAAGTAGTAGATATCAGTTGTTTAGAAGAGATTGAGTAAATATATTAGCAGATTGGTTGGTAAAGCAACATGGTGAACAGTGGTTGTCTTTGATTTAATACAATTCCTAATGAAATGATAATCAATATCAATATCATTTTTTTGAGTATGAAAGATAGGATTGTTAGCTAGTGCAATTGCCAATATTATCACAGTAAATAAGAGTAGCAAGAATCAATTGGAATAGAAAATTCCTGTTATAATCCGTGCATCCAAATAATATATATTGTAGCAAATGCTCTGTATTCTGCTTTGGTAGAGGGAGAGCAGTTGTGAAATGTTCTTAACATACTAGGTGATTAGAGTGTCTCCAAGAATGATAGAGAAATAAGTAGCCAACTTTCTATCATCGAAATCATCGTCCTAATCAGAATTCAAATAAGATTTTGAAATTAAATTCAAAATCTGATTTATTGCCTCACTTTCATAACTCTTAATTTAAATTCATTTGAATTCTAAATTCAATTGAATTTTAAATTCAAATCTAAGAGCATTAAAACACCACATTCAATGCCCCTCACAACCTCATTACTGCTGACGTCCATCACTCTTGGGCATGGATTAGGAAACTCTTCCTAATTCCTAATGTCTCTGTTTAGAAATAACTCCACCTCTTGTTAGCTGAAACGTTTAAAGCCAACCCCTTTAATTGGTTTCCAAAATCTGAGAATAAACATTAGGAAATATTTCCCTATTTCCCTCCCAGTTTACCGCCTCCCTTTACTGAAAATTCCCAAAATCTGTCCACGGGACAGTGCTCATTTTTTTGGAAGATTTGAAGCGCAAATATGCTGCTGCTGGCCAAATTTTCCCAAGCCTCTCACATTAATTCTCTTCCATTAAATCCTCCCTAAACTCCACCCACACAGCAGGCCGAATTTTCCCAAGGCTTCACCTTGGGTTGCCGTTCTTCCCAATCAGCCTTAGATCCTCCCTTAAGTTTTAAACCAAACTCTTCCTTCCCCTACCCCTATTTTCTCAAGAGAAAAAATCTGAGAATTTCCTCTCAGTTTTTTTTTTTTTTTTTAAAAATTTTTGTGGAAATCTGAGGCTGTTTTTAGAATTTAAGAGAAGAGGTGTGGAGCTTGAAACCTCTCCTCCCAAGAGAAAATCTGAGATTCTATTCAGGTTTTGGGCAAAGAAGTCCGAATTTCCTTCAGATTTTGGAGAGGTGGTCCTCTCCTTAGCGAAGCTGTTGTCCGTTCTACATCAGTTGAGGTGTGGAGCTTGAAACCTCTCTCCTCCCAAGAGAAAATCTGAGATTCTATTCAGGTTTTGGGCAAAGAAGTCTGAATTTCCTTCAGATTTTGGAGAGGTGATCCTCTCCTTAGCGAAGCTGTTGTTTGTTCTACATCAACCTTCTTTGTATCTATGCAGTCTTTTCAGCATTTGAAAATGAGGAGGTAAAGGTTGACCAATAAATTGACATAAACAATTTACCACATGAGAGATGTGTCTTACTGATAGTTATATATGGTAAAGAACCAACTAGATGCAATAGAAGTTATGATCGGATGCCTTTGAATTGATAGCAACACATTTCAAAGTCATTATAGCAGGAATAGGCGATTTTGTAGATCTTGGATTTTGAGTGGGCTAAGAGTTGTCCATTCTTGCTCGATGGACGATATTTAGAGCATATCTTGAATGATTTTAATGCAAATCATAGGAGGTTGGAGCAGCTTGAATGTCTAGAAAATTCAAAATGTTGCCAAGATTTCAAATATTGAATCTTCGTTGCAAACGATAAAGGAAGCAATGATGTTGGAATTTTTGTCGATGATTCAATATGTGAAATCAACACAAATCATAATATATATAATAATTTTTAGTTGGTCGTAGACAAGTAAGGAAGGATCGATATTGCTGAAAGCAAAATTAGTCTGCAATAGATAATATAAAAATATTGCAAATTATTGTCTAGGTGCCTACTTTAGGTCATAGATAGCCTTTTGCAAGAGACAAATATGTTGAGGATATTAGGAGTCAATAAAACTTTGTGGTTGTGACATTGAGGCGAACATGCAAAAAGGCATTGGAGACAACCAATTGAGTGATAATGCAGTTATAATGAAAAATATGGATAGTTGGTATCTTATCAATCCGACTAAAGGTTTCATAATAATTAAGACCTTGTTCATATTTGAGACGATGAGAAACAGTGGGAGCTTTATCTATAGCTATAGTGTCATTTGAGTTGCATTTAGTTTTGAAGTTTCACTTGCATCCTAATACATTATGACTTGGAGAATAAGGGGCAAGAGTCCAATTACCTTGATCCTATAAGGCCTCAAATTCTTCACTTATTGTACTTTGCCATTTGACATCCTTGATATCCACAAAGTAGAAGGTAAGTGCAATAACAGTGGAATGAAAAAGATGAACAATATGTTTGGGTTTAAGATTGCCATTCTTTAGATGTGTTTGTATTGGGTACATGGATATTAGCTAGCATAATGGGAACTTGAGGTGAAGAAGAGTTGAACTCGGGTATGGATGGCATTTTAAGAGTAGGAATGGTTAAAGCAAGAGAGCTGGTGGAGTAGATTGAGTAGTAGGCATAGGAGAGGTAACTTCCATGGATGGAGTAGAGATAAAGAATTTTGATTGGCATCGGTTGGTCAAGACAATATAGTAGAAGTTGGGATAAGAGTTTGAGGAAATTTAAAGAGTTGTTTAACACACTGAGATGGAGGAGTATGAGTATTACTAAAGTAAATTTATCCTCATGTAATAGCTCATGTTGAAAAATGTAAAATTTTCCAATTTTGAGATTATAACATTGAAGTCTTTTAATTGAGAGGCATTACAAAGAAAAATATGAGGAATTGATTTTTGGTCTAAGTTGTATCATTGTATGGATAATATGGTTTAAGCCACACAAAGATAATACATGCAACCAAAGTTTTAAGCTCAAAATATTTGGGTTGTTTTTTGTACAGCAAGTAACTAGGAGGATAATTGTTGGTATTTGGTGAAGGCATTGATTAATTAGATAAGGTGGCATGAGAAGTTTGTCAAACCCAAAATTGATGTGGAAGATGAGCATCGAGAACAAGGTGTGTGCAGTTTGAAGAAAGTGAAGGTGTTTGTGTTATGCCACACCATTTTATTCGAGTATATGAGGATATGCCTTTTGATGGATTATATCAGAGTGATGTAACGTTTTTCAAAAAGTATGATTACAACATTTTTCTCCATCATCCAAACAAAGAGTTTTTATTTTATGATTAAATTAACATTTAACCAATTGTTTGAAATGTAGAAAAAGCATTCGTTTTAAATTTGCAACGCAGCAGAAACACTCAATAATATGAAGGAAAATTGTCAATGAATGATATTTAGTAGTTGAAATATTTGGGGAAGGTCTTCCTACATTAGCATGCATTATTTCAACTGGTATAGCACTACAAGGAAAAAGAGACAAAAAAAGGTAGTCCATGGCTTTTTGCTTGATAGCAAACAATTGAAGAACATAGTGAGATGGGTGATTAATTCCGGAATAAGCTTTGTCAAAGCAGTGAGTGTTGTGGTAGATGGATGCCCTAGACGATGATGTCAGAGTCCAAGATTGGTGGAAGAAGACAGTAAGGCAAGTTCACTAGTTGCTAGGGGAGGCTTCAGAGAAGGTCAAAATGGTAAAGTCTAGTATGGCATGGTCCTTTGAGTAAAATTTGATTGCTTTTCAAATCCTTAATGATATATCCTGAAGGATCAAATCATATTGAGAAAGTGTATAAGGAAAGCAGATTGTATGAAAGTTGAGGAGCATGATTGAGATTAGATAAGCTAATGTTACAACTAGGTGTATGTAAAAAAAATTGTATCGTGGCTGCTATGGGAATCAATCGCCCATTTTCAAGAGTAACTTGTTGATTTCTATTGTAAGGTTGTGAATTTGATCACTGGCTGAAATCAGTAGTAAAATGTGATGTTGCTTTGGTATCAAGCACTCATTTCATCAGCAAGGATCCGAGGAAAAAAAAAAGCTTTGTTATTTGTGTTCACATTATTGTAATTTGATTCATATCGTGCCAGATTTTGATAGTTGAATGGCCCATTTTTTCATATATTTAACACTTAAAGCCATTCTTCCGCCACATGAAGAAGAGAAATTATGCGTACAATAGCACTGCTGGAATGCTCTCTGCCTAAGCCAAAAGAGAAACCCTAAAAGCACTGTGACTGCTATTAGCAGCTAGAGCAATACTCAGATCAGAATGGTGTGGAAGACTGGATTCACAAGAAGCTTCATGTTCATATTCATTTTCCTGCTGCAAAGTGTTCGGGGTGGAAGTAAAACACGCAACAAACACAAAAAAGAGAAAATAGATATGCAGAGAAATGTAAAGAAAATCAGGATTTAACGTGGAAAAACACAAAATCAAGAAAAAACCACGGAGCCATTCCACACTAAGAAATCCACTGTGAAAATATGGGAGAATTAGTACACATCTCTATTCTCTCTCACTCTCTTTTTGCTTTCCTTATCTCTTACACCATTCTTACATAAGAACAAACAAAGAGATACAATACATTCTACTATGGGACGCCGCCATTAAGAAAAAGGAGAGGAAAATTGTCCAACCGGCCTCATAAAGCGGCAATACTAGTTTGGAGCGCCTCGGCGCTCAATGTTCTGTCTCTAGTCAGCCCATGCTTCTCAACGACAAATGGCACAACACGGCACAAAGTTAATTTCCCATTGAGCCATGACGCATATCGCACCGTGTGGTCCGCTCCATTTTAAATATAGCGCATAATATAAATATATATATATATATATATATATATACTAATATAAACATAGTTATGAGGAAAATTAGCTGAATGTTCTGCAAATCAACAAAAATGATATTTTAAAGTCTTACGAAAACTTATTATCAAAGATTTGACCAGATTTAAGCATAATTTAGCTTTAATGTTGCTTTCATACCAGATGATAGCAATAAAAAATAGAAAAAAAAAGATTTGCAGATTATATTGGTCGATCTTTGGCACAAATTTGAGTATCATGCAATGTAAGTGCGCATTCCCTGTGATACGGGCTAAATGCGGGCTCACTCCCAGCGTTGCACGACGTGCTATTCGATCAAATGTGTTCGCGTATGTCTTTAAAAGCCCGCGACTGCTTCCACGACGGGTTTCGCTTTGCTCACAGAAGTCTTCCCCGTACCCATCTCAAATTTTTTTCCGATCTTTCCCTCTCCAACTTCATGCAACCCGAACCTAGCTTCCTTTCCTTCTCTTGCCTTAAAGCCATACAAAGCCTGCCTTAGATCCGTCGCTTTTCCATTGGCCCTAGACCGAGCCTCTGTTTTCCCTGGTGTCGGTTCCACACAAGCCGAGAAGAGGATGAGAGAGGAGAGAGAGAGGAGAGGAGGAGGGAGAGGAGAATAGAGTAGATCCGCTACTGTTTTCATGAAGCTCGCGTCGAATCTCATCCATCGATAAACCATTTTACCGTTCTTCAATCCAAGAGGCTAGGAGAGAGAGAGGAGGAGAGGAGAGAGAGAGAGCAGAGAGAGGCTCTCTATCTAAGAAAGCCAAGACCCCCGATTCACGAGCCGAACTTCATCTGTAATAGCCACACCCTCATCCCTCACAAATCCGAGCTGCATTTCCAAATCCGCTTGTTTCCGCCGACTATTTCAGGACTACTTCACGATCTCCCATCCTTGTCTTACCGAATCCCTCTTATTTAAGCGATCCTCACCCGAGCTTAGCCTAGGTAATCTATCTTTTAGATTAATATTAGTATTAATAGTATTTTTATCAATAATTGTTATTATTTTGTAATTATCGTCATTCTAATATTATTAGCATATATAAAATAAATATATGAATATTATATATATATATAGGGGAAAGAGATGTTTAAAAAAGAAAGTTTTTCAAACTCCTGAGAACCAGCTTTGATGCTTAGCACTTGCGACAAAATGACCACATATAACAGCTTTTTTGCAGTGGTGTGGGAAGAGTTGTTGCGGTTATCTCACGAATCGGGTGATCACCTAAAATTCTTTTTCGTCATTCTGGTGCTCGAAACTACTATAACAACGCTTTTCCTCTGCGTGGTGAGATGGGAACGGTGGGTGCTTACGGTTTAGGACGAGATATTCATAAGTACGGCGAACTACCATTAAAAAAGCGGGACGGGCGTCGCATTGAGTTGCGGCCTCAAGTCGGGTTGGCGGAACGTTATGGCGTATCAGGCGCTATACGTCGAACCATCAGGCGAAGCCTCGATTTTTTCGCATGAGGGCGTACGCATTGGCGTAACGCCTCGAGGTAGTAGAGGCACCGCCGGAATTTTTT